GTAGCGACCGCGCGGCAAAAATCCTGGGGCCTTATGTAGCTGTCTATTCAAGCCCTGTATTTCTGCAGGGCATACGATGCAGGGCAGATAATAGCTGAGTAGTGTGCGACCAGCCCCAAAGGACCCTGCATTTTCCGAAATCTGTATAGACCCCCCAACATTAGCAGAATCCTGACAGCAAAATATTCCAATCTTGTGTGGCATCCGAAGGAACCACGTTCTGCTTGCCTGTGAAGGCGATAGTAAAACAACGCTTCCTCATTCAGGTCTTTTCTGGGAGCTCGTCCGGTTGAGCGTTCCGGCGTAATAGAATCGTGACGCTTAGCCAACCACGGCCTGCTCGACAACACAGAGGTGAGCAGCTTGGTGGGCGTTCTTCCCCCAAGAGCGGCCCAATTTCCCAGTCGAACTGCCCGCTGTGGGGAGAAAAGACAATGCATGCCAGATGCCAGAACACTGGCACACCTCTGTGGGTATGTCTCATTGCCGTTTGCACAGTGAGCGTACCTTGCGGTGTTCGGCACATGAGGCGCGCGCGCCGGGAGATATTCACGTTCCACTCTTCTCCTTGCCGCGTTTCGCTTACGTAGCAGAAAACAAATATAGAGGACCCTTACGTGAGCGAATTGTTCGCCCCACCTTAGAAACACGCGCCTAAGTTCATGAGCCAGTGAGTGAGTCACACTGCAAACATAGATAAGCTTGCCGCTTCCAAGTCGCTCGCTTCTCAAATCTGTCTACTCTTCAACCTTAAGATTTCAGTTACAAAAATTGAGAATCTGACGAGTTCCGAGGAGGCTTCCCCCCTCACTGAAAACGACTTTGCCTTGTTCTACTGTTCCCACATCCCCCTCGAATTAATATTATTTCCTCAGCATGTCAATGCCATTGTTGTATGTAGCAATCTAAATTTCAGGTGTCAGCACACCGACCTAGTAGCAGAAAGTGCTCAAATTTGCTGCAATCCTGGGGCACCCTTAATGGCCCCTTGAGCCAGGCTCAGTCATTAACAACACGCACACCGCCAGATGATGCTTCACACGGGAACTCGAGAATATATTAAGCAGTGTATGTCAAATCCACAAAAACTGTGCACTGCAGTTTACTTGCTGGGGAGAGCTACAGGAAAACGCATTAAGCAGCCGACGCAAATGCCGGCTTGCGAGGAATAGGGATGCCTAAGGCTTATCAGTAAAACCCTCAGATCTCTATTTCCGCAGAAGTACAGGCATTTTCCCATGCGTAAATCACCCACACGGGCTCATGGAGCTCTCCAAGATGGTTGCACAGAGAAAGGAATCGTTACGCCGCACTGTTCTTGCGGATACCGGCGTGTGCGTGCGTTGTCGCGTGACTACAGCTCGAAAGTAAAGACAAAAAAGGACTTCAAAAAAAGCGATGGCGAGCATTTAGCAGCACGACTCCATCATTTTTAAGCCAATGCTAATGCCGCAAGTACTTCGTGCTGACAGAGGAGCGCTCTACCGCGGCGCCGATGGTGATCCAGTGTTCATGGAGCGCTTTGGTCTGTTGCACGCTTGGTCGCTGTACCCAACGCTTCAGGGGACGAGCGAATAGCTCGCACTCTTCGCTATCTGCTACATATCAAAAAAGATTGGACTTCCGCATCACCCTCAAAAACTCTTCTTCATTTATTTCCCCATCCCCATCTCTGTCAGCCTCATCTATCATCTGTACAACGCAAAAACTACACGAACCGCGTTGCTCCCCCCAACTATTTGGTCCCAACTTTGTAGCAACGGCTAGAAACACACCTATGGAGGCACGTTAGCCCCCTTTACACGCACGCCTCTTCACATACGCATAAGCGCCTGCGCGTTTTCCACACATTTTGTTCTGCTAGCTAAGGGTGGGTATGCTGCAACCAGTAAAGCGGCAGACTACAAGCCCTCTCCACACGGCCTTTCCTTCATCTCACCTCTTGTATTTCTTCGTCAGTGATGCTCTCGCCGATCTCCTTTGCGACTCTCTTTAAATTCTGTACATACAAAAAAATCATCAGTGCACTTCGTAAGTGCTAATTGGCAGCTAAATTAAATTCACCAGCAGCAAAAGTGCCACCAATGAAACTGCAGCAGCAGTCCGAACGGCAGGGGCAAAGGCCAAAACAAACCTTAAAAGTGATCTTCCCTGTCCCGTCGTCATCAAACAGACGGAAGGCCTTCAGCATTTCCTCCTTGGGGTCGCGCGCCAGCTGCAGCACAGCGCGTGCAACTGCTGCAGATTCTACTGTGGACTTTTAGGTCTAGCGGTACTTACTGTTACTGCTTTAGTACTCCTCGCCGCTGCATCCAGGCACGCGCACGTACCGCGCCTCAGGGTTCATCGCAGCGCTAAGCAGCACTGTAGCACCACTGAACGTAACAAGTATCTACTTCATAGAAATCACTTCCCTACATCGAGCAAGTAGGAGTGGCACCAAGAAACTGAAGCAACCCATCACCTAGGACGGCAGAAGGAGCAGCGACTGCAACTGGACCGTCCATTCTGCTCACAATCTTCTCAGTCATTATGGAAAGGAAATCACTGAATTCGATTGTCCCTGTTCCATCCGCATCCACAGAAGCGATAACTTTTCTTATCTGCGAAAACGTCGGATCGTTCTTTAAGCCACAACGATTCAGCAGGACAACGAACCAAAGCAGCAACTCAAGAACTGCATTCACCCGATGTAAGGCAAACCCATGCCACTGTGCCTTTTTTCATTTCGTGTTGAGCGGCCGCATCTGTCTTTATACGCCATGCATATATTTACGTCCTGCCGCAACTAAACCAGATCTGTGAGTCAGCCACTGCAGCAAGCCCTACGCACTGTTTTTAGTTTGGGCGGCAGCAATGCGTCTCGCTGTTCAGTCGGAAAATACAGTGCGTTGCTGGTGGCACTTGATATTATGCAGGGGAGCCCGAATTTAGGGCAGCTCAGGGACGTTGCTTTCTATCACCTCTCTGCAGTGATGCTAGCATTGTGTACCACAAAGCAACTCTCGGAGGAACGGCTTCAGCGCCAGCAGCCACTTCCGCAAAAGCCCACCTCGTCTCGCTTAGCCTCAAACCCAAGCGCTTTCATTGCGACCTTGAGCTCCTTGGCGTCAATGCATCCTGACCCGTCCGTGTCAAACAAATCAAAGGCCTCCCTTATTTCCCGCTTCTGCTCCTCCGTCAACTCCCGGCGGGAGGCTCCCGTTGTGCCCCCGCGGGCTCCTCCTAAGCCTCGACCAGCGCCAGATGGCTGCGCACGACGACCCAGCTGAGACACACGCACAAAACTCATCCAAAAGTGTCCTGGAATGTTGCAGCTGGCAGTGTTGCTGGGCGTCTCGATAGCAGCCAAGAAGATGCTTAGCCTGATGTTTTTCCTTCATTAAACATGGGAGGTGAAAAAGAGGTTTAGAGGGCGCGGATAACCGATACTGCGCGTGGGAGTCGTCGATGCACCCGAGGTCACCTGATACAGTCCCCACTCCTGCGCCACTGCAGCCGCGGCAACACCCGCGACGGCGTAAAATGGAGTTCACAAGATGGACTGCATGCTAAGGTAGGGAACGTTACAATCCTCACCATTTCTGCTCACTATTACTACCACTCCACCCGTCCTCTCCAACGCCAGGAGCAGCAGTGGTAGGCGGTTGCTCACCGTCTGTCCTTGTTTCGCGCCGCAGAAAAGCTGCGAATAATTGTCGAAGCTCACTAAACACTAGAAGCCACGGCCGCAGTACTCAATGGCCCTAAGACCTTGGGAGGTGGAGGTGCAACGAAGGACAGCCGCAGCAGCGGCAGAGCCAGCAGCACCAACACCAGCTCCACGGGCCCCCTCCCATTGCTACACATGCAGGATAAAGTAAAAGACGCTCAACGAATGTCCTTAGTAATAAGTGGTATAGTGGTTATTTCAGCGCCAAGCAAATTTCTTGCCAGCTACAACGCCGGCAGCATTTGCTGCTACCGTCGCTGGCAATACTACTTCTGGTGCTGCAGCAGCGGCTTCAACAATAGCGGCAGCACCAGCGTCGTCGAAAGTGCACTAGCAGGAGCAACTACGCATCAATATCATCTGTCTTCGGTTGCTACACCATTTAGTATAATTTCTGAATCTTACGCTGCATGCAGCTGCGGAAGCAAACGCAACAGCACGCAATCTGCCTGCAGGGGGGCCTCAATGTTTGCACAACTGGAACGGCAGCAGCTGTAGCTGTGCCTGCCAATTCCGGATCAGTTCATGCATCAGCAGCAACATTTCTTCATGCTCCACTTGCTGCCGTTGCTGTTACCTTCGCCCAAACTTTTCGGGCTGCTGCCGTTGCGGCCACTCAACAATGATCGCTGGGGCGCCTTAGTTGTCAACGCTGCAGCAACTGCGGCAGCAACCTCACGCATGCGGGGTCATTCGCAATATTAAGGCCATTGGCAGCATTAGACAAGAGCTTATAGCGGCTTCGACGTCGGGAAATTTGCTTTCGGGGCTGATGCTACAGCCATAGCGAGCAGCATAGCAGCAGAAGCAGCAACGCTGGCAGCGATGCCGAGACCCCCACGTATAGTTATTGTTGCACGAGGGTTCTTGAGTTTTTCTCGGCGTTCTCCCGCTACACACAGCAGCATCAGAAGCAGCGGCGTTGGCAGCAGCAGTAGCCATTCAACAAGGAATAACTAACGGCAGCACTAGCAGTAGGGCTGCGTCGGGTTGAAAAAAGCCGTAGCAACAAGGAGAAAACAGACGGAACAGGCCTCACGGGATCAATAGTGGGCCAAGCTGCAACAGGAAAGCATAGAGCAGCGGCTGTTACACGCTGGGCAACCAACAGCAGCAAGCAGCAGGATCGTCGCCGTGACACTAGGAACAAGCGGCGGTATCTGGATCGCTCTGTTTGTCGAAGTTAAAGTAGCCTCGCAGCGGTGCTGCAGTGCAGCAAGCAGCTGGAGCAGCACCAGTAACAGCAGCAGCGGCAGCAGCAGCTACATGTTGCTCCCGTGCGACCAAGATGTCTCCTTCCCCCCCCATGTCTCTCTTTGGGGGAGTTGAGACGGAAGAGGTCGGGTGCGCGTATTACGGGGATGCGGATTGCCCTTCTCTGGCAGCCTACCTGTTCCAGCTGCTGCAGTGGTGGCTGCAACTACTACTACAGAGCAGCAGCTATGTAGCAGGCTCGTTGTCTTCATCACTGTCTCGCATGCCATCTCAGTTGCTGCAGATATGCGTTTCTTTAGGTGGTGCTGTGCTTCTTGTGCTTTTCGTATCTCTTATTTACTGGCGCTGCAGAGTAAGCAGGTACAATACCCCCGGTACTCTACGAGGTCCCCAGGGCCCCCCTCTTCGGCACCCGGTTCATGCTTGGGAGGCGTTTGCTTCGGCATCGAGCCCCAAGTACTGCTGCATGTGCAGGGAACTTATTTCGGGTTTTCTCATATACAGAAATAAGGGATGGGAGTGTTGCATTTGCCGTCGTGCTTGCCATGCCACGTGCCTTGCTGCGTGCGACTCATTGCCCTGCAAAACACCTGCAGCCCCAGCAGCAGCAGCGGCTGCAGCAGCAGCAGCAACACATGGAGCGGCAGCACCACCCGTCTTGAAGCACAGGCTGGTTGAAGGCGCTCTTGCTGCGGACGCAGTCTGTTGTTGCTGTGGCCTTGCATGCAGCAGCACTTTCGGGCTCGACGGGCTGCGATGTTTGTGGTGCGCTCGCACTGTCCACAGCGAGTGTCTTTATCTTCTGCCAACTGCATGCGACCTGGGTCCGTTGCGCCTGCTGATGCTTCCTCCCGCTGCTGTGACGCCGCTTCTGTCGGCTGCTGCAAGCCCTCACGTGCTACTGCGCCTTGCTGCAGCGCTGAGAGATGGGGGTGGAGTTTCTGCCGCTATTCGAGGTCTCCGCAGCATGGCCATGTTGCTGCAGCAGAGCGTGTCTCGGCAGATGAAACGCATAAATGCTTCCCTCATGGGCTCCCTGAGGCATGCACGCAGCGGCACGCAGCAACAACAACCGCAGCAGCAGCCGCAGCAGGGTGAGAAGCCAGCAAAAGATGACGACGTTGCAGCAGCAACAGAGGGATTAAGCGCCGTTGCTGATAATGCCCGCAGTAACGGGGATACAATCCTAGCAGCGCCTGGCACAGCACCGTTGGCGGAGCGTGCAGTGTCTGGGACGCCTCAGAGTAGGGACAGCGGCAGCAGCAGCACAGCTGGTGCTCGTGGCACGGATTTAGGGGAGTCAGAGAACGCGGGTACTCCGCGTCGGCAGCAGTTCTTCTTGCAGCAGCACCAGTCACTGGAACGACAGAGACCACAAGACATCCTGAGGGCTCTGGGCCGTCACTTGGAAGGCTTTAAAGTCCTTGCGGGTGGCGTAGAGAGTAGTGGCAGCAGCACTAGCTTCAGTGGCTGTAGCGATGGAGAGAGCAGCAGCAGCGAGTACAGCAGGAGCTCTAGCAGGATGTCGCGTACCTCCTGCAGCCAAAGCAGCAGCCACAGCAGCGCACAGGGCATTGCGCAGCAGCAGGAGTTGCAACACGACAACAAATTGCGCCACCGTCAGCCTCGAGGCCGAAAGGAGCGGTCGCACATAGCTGAGACGCTGCCTGACTCAAACGGAGCTGCAAGAGTGGAGACTGCAGCCTCTGCTGCTGCTGCTTCAAAGCATGTGAGTAATAGCAGCAGCAACGGGAAGAAGGAACGAGTTGCTCAGCTACAGCAGGCGCTGGCGGAGATTTTGCCTCCCAAGGCTCCTGTCTGGCGCCTTCGGGCTCAGCCGCTGCGGCACCTGCATGCAGCTGATGCAACACCAGTGTTGGTGTTTGTGAACTGCAAGAGTGGAGGACAAGTGGGGCGAACCCTCTACAAGGAGCTTTTGTATAGATTAAACCCTTTGCAGGTTAGCGAGAGGCGCTTATGGGCCTGGCCAATTTGCAGTGTCCCAATGGCTGCCATCTCTAGTGTGCTGCTGCAACATACTGCTGCAGCAAGCTGCTGCCGCTGCGTACCTGTCTATCAGTGTTCGCGTTCTTGTGTAGATGTGTAGACACTGTTGCCGATGTTGCAACCATCGTCGTCCTGCATTTTAGGCGTGTCAGCGCTGTTTCAGGTAGTTGACATACAAGCCGAGGATGGCCCAGAGAGGGCTTTACACCTTTTCAAGCCCTTAGCGCTGAGGCGAAGACTACGCGTGGTTGTCTGTGGAGGAGACGGCACTGTTGGTTGGGTCATTGATGCAATACAGAAGGTTTACAGAGCCCCTGAGAATCAGCAGCATCAGCTGCAGCAACAGAAAGTTGAGCAGCACCAGAAGGAAGCTCGGGAAACAAGTACACCGAAAGTGCAAGACCTCGACGAGGAGGAGCAGCAACAGCAGCAGCATAAACAGCAGGCAGGATATGAGCCCGAATGTCAGGAGCAGACACAGCTGCATGAGCAGCAGGTTAGCCATGCTCCAACGGTACCAACGCATTATCCAGTAATGAAACATCCAGATCATCCACAGTGCAGGCTGTGCCAGGAAGCACCTGAGGTTAGTAATCAGCAGAACCGAAGGCAACAGCAGCAGGAACAGCCGAAGCAGCTCTCGCTGCAGGAGCAGCAGAAAATGAAGCAACCGTCGGCCTTTGTTCCTGTCGCTATTTGCCCGTTGGGCACCGGCAACGACCTCAGTAACGTCTTGGGATGGGGGATGTCTTTCGACGGAGACATCGTCGAGGTATCAGTGCTGTTTCTAATGCTGATTTCGACGGCAGTTTTCCTGATGTTGCTGCTTCTAAGACGCAGTCATTGGTATCTGCTTGTCTTGCTCCGCAGCACCTTCTCAAGATTCGCCGGGCTGTTCCCTCAGTGCTTGACATTTGGAATGTTGAGGGTCGGTATTTTTGTGGGCTGGCCGGTGCAGCGGCTTTTAGTAGTGTTTTATTTCATCTGGGGGTTCTAAGGTGGCATCTGCTTTAGCTGCTGAGCGTTTTGGCGCACGGAGAGTATTCAGATGAAGTACTCACTGTGCTGCCTCCGCTGCTTCTGCTGTTGCAGTGTCAGGCAGCAGCGGGCCGATTCTCAGTAGCACGTTTTCCAACTACCTTGACGTCGGTGTTGCTGCACGCATCGCACTGAAGTTTCATAGACTGCGAGAGGGAAATCCGGAACTTTTCCAGTCAAGGGTAAGCGTCTTCCTCTGCTGTTGCTGCGTTTACTGCTACTGCTGCGTTCAATGCTGCTGTCCTGCAAATTTTATAAGTGGTGTGTCAGCTGTTAGTACGCGTGCAAAGTTGCTGTTGAGTCACAACTGCTGCACGTGTTCTGTGCTGTTGCTTTTGCTGCAGCTGGGCAACAAGTTCTTGTATGGAGAAGTTGGGTTTAGAGACTTCTTAGGGCCCCGTGCTGCAGCCCTGGAAGTCAGGGGTCTCTACTGCGACGGTAAAGAAGTACCACTGCCGCCACAAGGTGTTGAGGGGATTTGCATAGTCAACATACCGAGTTTTGCTGGTCGGTTCCGCACTGGTGCTGCTTCCTCTGTTTCTTTTACACCGCAATTCTGCTGTTGTTGTACTTAACGCTAGCAAGGGCAGGTGGGTTTCTGTCGGCGCAGGGGCCGACGCAACTGCACAACAGGTAAACGTCAGTATGAGGCAGAAAAGGGGGAAAGAGCAGCAATGATAGCAGGTAATGCTTGGTGCGTGTCTCTTACGTATCCTGCAGGCGGGGTGATGTTGTGGGGAGATGCAGAACCACAACAGCAGCGACAGTTGCAGCATCACGAGCAGTTTGTGTTGCCACAGTCTCATCAGGTTCAGCAGAAGTACTACAGACGGGCCCGCCTCGCGACTTTAGGCCACGGCGTTTCAACAGATTCGTCTTCTTCTGATATTGGCGTCCCACGTCGCCATTCACAGTCGCACAAACGGCACCGCACCACGGATGTTGCTGCTAGTGCTGCGCAGTCCCATGCTGTTGGACCGGAAGGCGCCACGGCAGTCTCCGCTCCTCCAAGTCCGGGACAGAGGCTTGCATCTCCAGAACTCGCAGCTAGTACGGTTGGAGCTGTAGCGCCAAAGCCGGCACTGCATCGCACAAAAGAGCATACATATATGGTATTGGCTGCAGACACGGCAACAGTTGCAGCGACAGATAACTGCGGAGCACTTAAGAGCGACTGCAGTAACAGCGTTGAGTGCGCATATGAGGAGGAGCCGGACGAATTTGCCACGGAGCCAAACCAGCATCGGAAGGGCCCGGAACAAAAGAGGCAGCAGCATCAGCAACAGCAGCATCAACAGAAGCAGCAGCACCAGGGCCGGAGCCGCCGGCCTCGAGCATACCCAGCGTCTCCTCACACGCATACCGCACCAGGCGGCAGAGGGAACAGTTTGGGGTTCAGGGACCAGCAGTACATGAGTGCACCGCACTTAGGGGCCTTGACTGCCTCTGTGCATCGCCGCCATCAGTTGCAGCAGCAGCGTTTTGATCATTGGAAACCTCAAAAGATCGACGACGGACTCATAGAAGTTGTCGCCTTCAAAAGCCTTTTCCATCTCGGGCAGGTTCAGGTATGCTGGTCATAGTGTTCTCTGGCGCACTGTAAAGCGCTCGAAGTAGCAAATCCTGTTGCAACTGTTTGTGCTGGTTAGTGTCCCAGAAGTTCAGCCGCCAGTTGTATCATTCGTTGGTTGGTATTTTGCTTCTGCTTTTGCAGGTTGGCCTGGCTAAAGCCTTGCGTTTGTGTCAAGGACGCAGCGTGTGTTTGCACGTTAGCGGATCTCTTCCTCTGCAAGTTGATGGGGAGCCACAGTTACTTGAGGGCAGCTGCCGCATAGCAATAACTCACAAGTAAGACGTCTTACTGGGTACCGATTTGCGTGTGACGTTTTGCTGTTGTTATTCGAGGCTTTTTTGTGCTTACACTTGGTTCATCATGAAAAGCTGGGACCGCATCGTTCGATGTTCTTGTGTACAATAGGATAAATATTTTTGAAGTTGTCCATGGTGCAAAGTGTGGTGTGAAGCATGCAAAAATAGGGGCCTCTCCAAAGAGTGTGAAGCTAAAGAGGATACATTCGGTTTTGTATATTGATATTTTGTTGGAGCATGTGCATGGCCATGTCCACCACTAGGACGTTCCATAAAAAACCAATGGATAAAATTCTCAGCCTGCACGCTAGCCGTACGTGATTGCGTAATTTTGTTTTGAATGTATTTTGTATCGGAGCTCTGTACGAGTGCATGTAAAAGTGCGTGCACATATCCGTAAACGCATGTATTCGGAAGACAATTTGGCTGTTTTTGCACAGCCTACGGCATTACACAGCCTACAGCATTACAGGGTTCCGTAGGAAATTCAGGGCAGCTTGGAACGTTTTGCTCAAGAGTGACGCTGTGCTTGACTAGCTGTTGTTCATGTATATTCGTTTCAGCTGCCAAGCTCCGGTTCTGGTGGCTTCGGAGAAATCTCCTCGAATGCAGACTCTCTCAGTAGTTCAAGAGGTGATCTCCCAATATTTTTACGCAGGCTCTTGGGTGAAGATTCTCTCTGACTGCATCATAGTAATCGCATTAAGAAGCCTTCGGAATGTCTGTTCGCCAGTGGCGTGCTGCTTGCTCCTACATGCTGCATTTCGTATTTGCAAAATGGGTTTCGCTCCCGTACTGGATGCGTCGCTGCTTTTCTCGTGAAGCCCCGCAGTTGCATTACCCCACGTATCTCTACAATAGGTGGATTGTGGATGCACTCTACCCAGAGAAATAGGTCTACTCTGTAGACCCCAACTGTGGTGTACTCAGGGATGCATATACGTCCTTGAAGACACCTCAATTGGAGTCTTGTTAAAGTCTGCGCGATTCGAAGGCTTACGCCTTAAAACTGCACAGACGACTGTAACATGCGGGCTTGTTTGTTTTCATGGTCTCTCGTTTTTTGTGACATGTGGCGCGTATGTACAGGTGCTAAACAGGGCGCGGGACCGGCGCGTTATCAGCAAAATGCAATGCGCGCAGCTTATGAGCGATTTTCAGAGGACGTTAGGATAGAGCGATCGGCCGAACAAGTAGTGTACACACATGGAGCCCGATGGTTTTTTGTTAGTTCCGCATTGCACTTTATGCAGGGGCGGCTACATGGGTTTTCGTGCAGCTTTATGCATGCTTTTTTTAAGATAACTGAGCCGGAAGGAATTACTCGTGGACATTTCAAGCAATTTTGCAACCCAGTGTGCACTAGAGCTGCAGGAATAGAACAAAAGTACACTAACCAAGATGTCCAAGATGTCGGCACTTCCGTTGTGGACGTAGATTACCATGGCTGCAGTTTCTTAATGAAGCTGTTGCTGCATATAGCTAGTAGGGTTCTGGGTTGGTATATTTTTGGGGCCCCCAAGGGGAACGAACGCACGCCAGTAGATTATCACAGCTGCACGTCTACGCTTTAAGGTTCTACAACCTTTAACAGTGCTTCGTTGGGCGGGCACTCTGCGTAGCCTCAACTGCACTGCTATGGCGCAGTGGAAAGTTTGGGGTTTAGCCTTAAGGGGAGGCAGTCCCTCTCAGTCGCTTGGGCCGAAACGCGAAGACAGTACAAAAGACACCGAGCTCTTCATAGCGATGCCAATACCATGGGAGAGGCGCCATTGACGCTTCCGGGGTTGGGGCCCGCAGATGCGTAGTGAAGCATAAAGCTCAACGGGGCATAGAGCTTCACGGGCATCTCCTCGTCCCGTTTTTCCGGCCTTACGGCCAGAGAACCTCCCAGATGCCTAGGTCGCCAAGATCTCAAACGGGCCCGTTGGAGAGGCCGCGAAAGCGCTGGGGGCTGAACAATTTCAAGGGTTTCCCAGAAGTTACGGGTCCCTCTGTGCTACGGTGGTGACGAACACTCTGCTCTGAGCTCCCAGCGGCAATGGAGTCAACAATATGAAGGGGGAACTTCGTCAGCGTCAGCAAAGATGCGTAATTAGCACCCAAATGCAGACACCTCATGTACGTGGTTCCCCATCGTATCTCCCTACTGACGCCCTCCAGCTGCTACTACGGCGGCTGCTGAGGGAGGAAATATGCTAATAACAACAGGGTACTCCTGAGGAGCTGCGCATACGGAGGGACACGAGATCGACTTAGTCTTGTAAGTCTTCCTCTTTGTTGCTGGCAACTTCAGAGGGGCCTCTATCTCTGTCTTCGGGGGAGGCTGGGGCCTCTCCGCTGCCGTGGTTGGCGTCTGTGTGGCTCTCCGGATCCCCAACTGTGCTGAAGGTGTAGTCTGCCTCCTGAATGTGTTTGATTTTCGTCTGGTGACGGGAAGCGAAGCAAGGCAGCAGGAACCCAGCAAAGAAAGCACTACCATGAGTCATCAATATCTTGATGGCCCGTCCGATTATCTACAGACGACTACTGGGCACAGACGAGGTACTGGAATGTCACAAGCGCAAGTGTAACCAACTAAGACATGGCCACGAGCTCACACCGCGAGCCGCGGGACCGAAACAAGGAGATGACACACAAAAAGGAGAAAAAGGAAGTCCTCACCTCTATCCACACTTTAGTTTGTTGCTGCAGACGCCGCGTGTGAGAATCCCACTCTGCTGGACGCCAGAATAACGTAGGTTGAGCCCTGTAAAAAGCAGTCAACATGGCTCCAACATAATTCACATACAGTCCCCTCAGCCGTTCCCACAGTCGATTCGTTGTTTGGGATGTGCAGACAACTGGAAGCTTGGCCGCTGCTTGGTGCCTACTCTGTCCCAACGAAGTGCTCCATGTTGGAGTAGTGTTGTACCAAATGGAGACGCTGCAAACAAACAACGTTGCAGCAGCACCCAACGGGGCGGAAATGTAATGCTAGCCTGTGTAAGACGCGCGCAGCTCTAAATGAAATTCTTCCGTTACTATAACTGGCTGGAGCCCTGATCCTCGGAACCAAAATAAGCCTTAACTACTCTGTGGGCCCGTGTCAAGGCACCCCATAGATACATAATTGTGAAAAGATTACAATGCTGCCAAACAATATGGATCACTGGCCTCTACACTCGCCTTCCAAAATAGCGTGTTGTACGCGTGCGTGCGTGCCCCAGTGTCGTTCTGCAATGGCTTTACGGCTTAAGGTTGTTGGCGTATGACCTTACCATGAGATCGTTTTCCTTTTGAATCAGTTCACTTGAGACCTTGGCCAGTTGGCTCTCGTCCTCTTTGCGCTGCTCCTGCCACTGGATGCGCGCAATTTCTGCTATATGTTTTCGGGCCAACTCCAACTTAGAGTTAACACGCTCTTCCTGCAGCTTGTGGCGCTGGGCCTGCAGAGAAACAAACTCCTATCTACGTGAGCGCTAAACAATCCCCCCATACGGACGGTAGGGACGCCTGGAGTTAGCCGCAACTTGCAGGAACCCACGCAGCAACACTGTGGTCAACGTTCGGAAGTGCCAGCAAGAGATGGACCTGGCAGCAACATAACTGACGGGGCTCACAAAATCTGTATCCCTCTCTTTCGCAAGCTGTTGCTTGGCTTTGTTCAAATGAGATGACAGAAACCCGAAAATGCGTTTGTTGCGCTTCTCCGAACTAGGATCGAGTTCCACCTTGGGCTGCACAGTCACATCCTATACTGTTTATCCTGCTGAGTAATCCAGGAGAGTAGGAGCCCCGGAAGTGCCATAATTAAAGAAGCAAGCATACGCCTAAGAAGTAAAGTCACAAAATCTAGACCTACCCGCTTTGCAATCTGAAACTCTGGGCCCGCAAAATCATAGTTTGGCGTTCCGCCAGCCTGAAAAGGAGACTCGCATACCTAGTATACTCTCACTACACACCGTACATAACACATTCCAGCGGCACCAAGCAAGCTAGGTGCCCTTAACGGGTGAACGTGAGTAAGCAGCAGGCGTTAGGTTTGGCAAACAACAAGTCTGTCACTAGTCAAACGCCGTTTGCCGCTACCCTTGGCCTCACCTGCGGTCGTTTCTGGGAGGCTGCTCCTGTGGCGTCACCCGAGGCTGTACTCTGTGGATTTTCCTTCGCTACGGTCCCCGGAACAGGGCGGGGAGCCAATGCGCCAGGTCCCCCGGGAGGTTTGCGTTGAAGCCGCTGATTAAGGAGCTTTTGTTCCTCTACGAGGCGCTTGATTTCTCTGCGTAAAACTGCATCCGCCATTTTGATGGTACGACAAAATTTTATAAAGGCTGCGGTATTGATGGCTCATGCATCAGTTTTGGGGTCCACGCTGTGCACGTTTCCCATGCAATTAGGGCCCCTTTCCCGCCAGGTCAATCAGTGGAGGATGCTGGGGCCCCTCGTTTCTTGGATCCAACTCAGAGACATTGCATGCAGAGTTCTCTGTGGACTTAAGTGACTACTCTTGATGCTTAAACAAAACAAACGGAAGGCCAGCGATGCATACACACCGGGGTCGCCGCAGTGGTACGGGCGCGAGGTACAGGTCAAGGAGAAGACGCTCCATGCGCCTCCCTTTCCCTTTTTCTCCTTTGTATTTGTCACTTTCGAATTCAAACACGAAACGACTTTCCAGTTGTCACCCAACGCCTCTGCGGCGGCTTCCATGCATGCAAGACTATCCAGAATCTCGTGTAGGGCTGACTGCTGAGCCTGGCACTACACCCGGTCATGAATGTGAAGGTAAATAACGGCTTATAGTACTACAAAGCAACGTGCAGAGTACGTGGTCTCAACGCAGCTCGTTATAGTGGGACCTGTTGCGAGCTTCAGCGAGGCGTGCGCTGCTGTTGTGGAATGTTCAGTGTTGTTCTTTTGCTGTTCATCAAATGTGTGCCATTCAAGCTCACACTACGGGCAAATATGTTTGCAAAAGTGTGTAGCCAATGATACCAGTTA